GCGCGAGCCGACCACGACCTGCCGCGCCACGGCTCGGCCCTCGGCCCACCCCTACCCCCAAGAATGGCCGGCGCTCGAATGGCGCGCCACCTGCGCGCGCGGCCAACGTCTAGGAGAAGCTGGCACCACTGGGGCTCCGCTCACGGCTGTGCGCGCCTATGTGTACCGGTCTACTGCGCCGCCCGCCCTTCGGGGACCCCGACATGCGCTCACCCGCGGATACTCGGTGCAGCCCCGGCCCAAACGCGGGCTCGAGCCCCGGGAACACCTCCCGCAGCTTCTCAAAGGTGTGCTGCGGCAGCGTCGCGCTGACGAGGACGAAGCGCGTCGATGACGGCGCGGCGGACTGCAGCGGCTCCACCTGCTCCCTGTACACGTCCTCGCCGCCTGCGGGGTGGGATATTTTGGTGCGTCGGTGAGATACTTTGGTGCGTCGGTGGGATAGTTTGGTGCGTTGGTGGGACAATTGATGGGCTTGTGCCACCATTACCGCAGCCACCAGGCCGAGCGGGGCGCGGCGGGCCGCCGCCGCCGTAGGGAGTTGCACCAGGCCGGCCGCCAGTGGGGGCCCCTGCTCCTGGTCCACCCTCCCTTCAGCCTGGAAGCTCGATGGACGGACGCCGCTGCCCGCCCCGCGCCAACTCTCATGCCAGAGGGGCGCGCGGCAAGCCCAAAATCCCTGCCACCGCAAGTAGGAATTGAATCGATTAATGCAACGAGCCTGGCTGCACTCCAGTAGGGGGGTCGGTCGCGGGGCGTGACAATCCTGACTGGAACAAAAGTCAACCCCTAATCCAGCTCACCGCACAGCACGTCCACCTCGTCCAGCACGATCGCGTTGGTGCGTCCGAGGTTGAGGGCGCCCTTGGACAGCAGCGCCACCGCGCGCCCCGGGGTTGACACCATCACGTCCACGCCCGCCTGCGGGGTAGAGGGGTAGCGCAGAGAAGGGGGGGGGGCAGTGTTGTGGGAACGGGGGTGCGGAGCGCGTCAACCTGCACGTGCACTTGCTGCAGCGTACAGCCTCGCAAGCGCGCATACATGTGCATACATGTGCGCGCACGTACACGCGCGCACGCGCGCACACACGCACACACACACACACACACACACGCGCGCGCGCGCGCGCGCGCGCGCGCGACACACACCTTCAGCGCGTCTTCCTGCGTCTTGAGGGCCTTGAAGCGCCGCGCCTCGTCCTCCTGGCCGCCAGTCATGATCGAGGACCGCAGCTTCAGCCCGGCTGCCACCAGCGCCTTGAGCACCCGCTGGACCTGCTGGGCCAGCTCTGGGGTGCCGAGTGATGGTGGGGGCATCCAGGCGTCATGCCGTGCACCCATGATTATATCAATCAACCAGGCAAGAAATGTGCAAATGGCAACCCGTGGCAGGACTGTACCGCCACCAAGCACGGCGGCCGACGGGCAGGCAGCCGCGGCCCCGGCCCCGCCGCGGGTGCAAGCATTACCCCGTCCCACCCCGCCCCCACGGCCCCTGCGCCCCCGCCGCGCACCCCCGGTCGGCGTGATGATGAGGATCCGCGGGCTGCCGGGCACCGTGGCCGGCCGCCCCGTCTTCTTCTCCTCCTGCTTCAGCTCCTGCAGCAGCGGCAGCAGGTAGCCCAGGGTCTTGCCGCTGCCTGCCTGGTCCGCCAGGGCCACGTGGCGCGCCTTGGCGGAGACGAGGGCGCGGTAGGACTCCGCCTGGTTTTGGGGGGTTGGGGTTTGGGGTTCGTGTGTGTTCGCACGGGTGTGTGTGCGGGTGTGTTTGGGTATGTCCATGATTGTGTGATATGTGTGTGTATGTGTGTGTGTGTGTGTGTGTGTGTATGTTCACGCATGCACGGGTGCATGAGTATGTGTACAGTTTGTGTGGGTCGGGCAAGGCTGCTGAGGTGTGCTGAAATGCGGGGGCACGCATGGCCGGTGTTCGGGCGTGGGGCAAGCTTCCGGGGTGTGCAACCTAGCAGGGGGGCGGTAGGGGTTCGGGCAGCACGGAACGGCAGCAGGCGGCAGGCCCGCAAACGCGCCCAGCTTGAAAATCTCTGCGCACATTCATGGCAGCGCAAGGGACACGCGGCAGCAACAACAAAGGACTGCCCGCCCCCCGGGGGCGCGTCAAGGGGGCCCGAGCGGCCAGCGCGCACCTGCACGTGCGATGGCCGGGTGATGCCGATCCCCCTCAGCGCCTCCACCACCGCGTCGCTCGCCCCCAGGTCCCGCCAGCTGCTGGCGCTGAAGAAGCCCTGGTCAGGCCCCATGTTCTGCCGCACCACCGGGATCTGCCCCGCGGCCGCCCCCGCCGGCGCCGCCGCTCCCAGCCCTGCAGAGGCGCCGGCGCCGCCGCCTGCATCCCTGCGTGGCCGAGCGACCGCTGCGGCGCCGCTGGAGCGGCCCTCGAATCTCCGCGTGGCCGACGCAGCTTCCGAGCCGCGGCCGTCCTCGCCCCCGCCCTCCTCGTCGCCGCCCCGGCCCTCCTCCACGCCGAAGTCTGGCTGCCACTGCTCCTTGGGCCGCCGCTCCCGCCTGTCGGGGATCCCATAAGCCTCCCCCAGCTTGTCCAGTGCCACCAGCCCGCGGCCGCGCTCGTCGACCAGCGCGTCGCGCCCGCGGCGCTTGAGGATCTGCCGCAGCTTCGCAGCAGCTTCGTCGTCCACGAAGAACTCGTCCTCGTCGTCGTCCCTTGGTGCGGGCCGGCGCTGCTGCTGCTGCTGCTGGGTCGGCGGCGGAGGCCCACCGGCTCCGCCGCGACCGCCGCGACCGGCGCTCCTGCCGCCGCCGCGGGCGGGCGCGCGGCCGGACGCGCCGCGGGGCACAGCGGCGGTGGCGGCGGGCGCCGGGCAGGTCGAGGCGCGGCGGCCTTGCAGCATGCGCCTGCTGTAGCATGCCAGCCAGAAGGTATGCATGCAGAGAATGCACTACGTGTCTGAAAACGCACGCAACAGGAGCGTGCCTCATGCCAGGGGCAATGTCGGCGACTGACTGCGCAATGGCAGCAGCGCCGCCGCTAAAGACGGCGCGCGCACCGGGTGACGCCGCAGCACCCCGCGCGGCCCCGTATGAGACTTGACATTGCTCTCACCTTGATACGCACGGCATGCGGCCTCCCATGCTTGGGGGCCGCCCGAGTGAGGCCGCCATGTTCGGGTGTGTGTAGCGCTTGTCAGAACTCAGCAATGTATTGCCAGATGGATACATAGACTGTAGTATAGTTCATCAAACGTATAAGTGCGGAAGAAAATAGAAAAGTGAAGCAGTTCAAAACAACCAAGCCAGGTGAATGCTGCGTCAAACAACGTCCACACGTGTAAATTGTATATTAACATCAAACAAGCCAAAATCACCATCCAGCGTGCTGTTCAGACATATATACTTCCGGAAGAAAACTTCACCTGGGTCAGCATGACGGGGCAGGTCGTGGAGCAGCCCTTCGGGGACACCGAACTGCACGTACCTGGGTAAGTGGTGCGCTGTCGCCAGCGGGGGCCACGGCACGGCAGGCCTGCAGAGACGAGCACTGCCATCTTTGGATGAGGGGCGAGAGCAACAGCATAATCAGGGGTTTCAACGCCTCTGCGATTGAATTGTATGATTTATCGACGCAAGTAAGCAACCTCGTACAGCTAGACGCTGCCACCAGCGCAGCGCCTGCAGCGGTTTGCGCGTCGCTGCTATGGTAATCCGCATTGCGTCGGCTGAGGGCGCTACGGCACATGCGCTGCGGCGCATGTCGCCGTGCACTTCACCAGCGCGCTGAGTATTTCAAAAGTGGCCCTTCGTAATAATTGCGACGCAGGTACACGGGCTATGTTCAGGGGCTCCACGAGACCTACAAAAAGACGCCCGCAATGGCGCAGCTCGAGACCAAGCAGCCGGGGCAGGCGTCATTCCTGCACACGCGCACCTGCCGTGCACCAGTGGCGTCACCCCACAGGGTGCGCGGGTCAAGAGGTCGTTGGACGTGTCACGACACCCCACCGCAAGCGGCGTGCGCCCCTTTCCTCCCGTGGCCTTCATCTATGAGAGAATCGTCACCACCGCGGGCCGTCAGCGGCCGCCTACGTATGCCGCACGCTGCGACCCTCACCCATGCGGTCGCACATAAACATGCGTCCTCTCTCAGGACCCCTGCAACTTTCCGGAGTACACCTCAAAGAAGTTTCACACGGACAATCTGTGGCCCAGCCTCCAGACGCGCGCCAAGCAGGTTTGTGCGGCAGCACGCGGCACGCGTGCACCCCGGCCCGCGCTGGCTGCTGATGCAGCGCAACACGACTCCTTGCAAATGAGGTTCGAATTTCATGACACGCAAGAGTTTGTGCCTGTGATTACGCGATGATTTATTGCAGTGACCGTGCAAGACGTCGTCCACCCTGAGGGTGCCACCTGGGCCTGCACCTGCTTGACCCAAACCTAAACATGCAGGACTCGTTCAAGCCTCCCTGCAGCAACATAGCGCTCGGTGATGGCCGCATCAATCCCTTCACCACCAGCTACTCTACGGGTGAGGCACAAGGCGGGGGCGCGTGCAGCTGGGTGCTGCAGCCGCCGAGCAGCAGTGCAACCTCGGCCGCACAGCGGGGCGTTTCCTGAAGCATCACCCCAGAGCAATCCAAGATATTGATAGCTTTGTGGCTTTAGCGGCCTGCGGGGCTTCCTCTGCTCAAGAGGGGCACGTGCATGGCGCTGACGCGCTCTCGCCCGCTCTCCGCCTGGATGCAACCCCAGACTTTGGGGCGCCGTTCAGCGGCCAGGAGCGGCTGCGCAGCCCGATGCGCAACACCGACCTGGCGGCCACGCAGACGTCCCTTAGGGAGCACTACGCCAGCAGCTACAACCGCGTCGGCGAGTGAGTGGCTGGGGCACCAAGTGTACTGCCCTGCCTCGCCTCCTGTGCAACTTAGGGCATGAATTGCCTGGCGTCTCCATTCCTGAGTTTGCAGCATGCCGCACGCAAAAGTGTAGCACTGTGTGTGTGATTCGCATGCGCCCTGATGCATTTTCATCCCAATCCTGCAGAAAGCGCCTAGCCAAGATGTTCAGCACCATGCGGGAGCGCATGAGCGCCAAGATGGGCAACAGCAATGATAATGCCTTCAAAATGCGCAAGCTCTTCAAGATGTACGACAAGGAGGACACCGGCATGGTGCGTTGACCAGGGTTTGACCAAGCTTGGAACAGTGCTGCATGCACGAGGCAACCCTGGTATGTTAGTACGCTGCTTGCCACGATTGATTGCGGTTGTATAGTCCTCGCATCACGTGCATCCCCTTTGAGCGCCTACACAGCATCGATGCACGAACGAAAGTAGAGTGCATCACCACAAACATCCGTGTGGCCTGTGCACCCTGCGTATGCGTCGCACGCCTTGACGCTTCAGATCCACTACGAGGACTTCCGGCAGTTTGGGGAGTCGTTTGGCATGCAGCTGGACGACGACTCGCTGCTGGCCCTGTATCACGTCCACGACCCCGAGGGCTCAGGTGCAGTCACGAGGGGTGTGATTAGCATCACGATCAGGGTTGTTACAGCTTGCCGCAGTCACCGGCTCACGGAGCACCGGGGTTCGAGGGCGCGTGCCGGCGCCGTTGCTGGGCGCAGGGCAGCCTCTTGGATTGAGGCCGATGAAACCCTCAAAGCATGCTTGCGGCACCATCTATCATGATGATCTGGTCTGAATCTGAGGGGCAAAGGTGGGATGCACAGAGTTGGTACTGTCTGGCAGCAACAGCAACCCGCGCCCCTCACGCTGGCCGCCTGCAGGCTACGTCGCGTATGAGCCCATTGTGCAGAAGATCATGGTAGGCGTGCTGAGAAGGTCGGGGCACGCACGCTTGGACGGAGCTCTCGTTTCTGCTGCTGGCCACGCACAGCGTGTCATCTGGTCGTGCTTGCTCGTCACCCACACACACCCATGCAATCCGATTTGCCCCCCTCACCATTCGGGAACCCTCCCTCTTGCTTGTGGTCCCACTCCTGCGCCGACACGCCCCCCCCCCCCACACCCTCCCCGTTCCCTCACCCCCATACAACGTCATGCCACCTCACGCACCTGCCGCAAAACCCCAGGACCCAGACTACTTCTGCATGTACTCACCAGCCGGCGTCGACAACACCCAGGTAAAGCGCATGGTGGGACGCAGCCAGGCAGGAAGGGCTGGGGGTGTTTTGTCAGACTTGTCATGGACAGGCCCTTGGAAGTGACCAGCACTGCCGGGGCGTCCAGCACGACACACAGGGCACGCCTATGCAGCCTGGTCGGTACTGCGCATGAGGCGAGTACCTCGAGCACTGCCATGTGGCAGCGGAACTGAGCCGGCCTGTTCTCCTCATATGCCTGTGTTGTCCCTCGCCCGCCCACCCCTGGACCCCCCCCTCCCCGATCACACCTGCAGGCGCTGGTGGACGCGCAGGCGACCTCCAAGCTGGTCTCAAACCTGCGCAAGCGCATCCACGGCAGCGTCGATGAGATGCGCGCGGTGTTCGAGTCGTTTGACCAGGTGGGGGGGGAAGGGGCGTGGCCGCACTCGCGGGCTGTCTGACTGGTTTGACTGGGAGTCGTCCTGGTGCTTGGTGATGCACTGCTTTGAGGCTACAAGGGTGGTATAGTGCTTGCAACACAATCCCTGGAGAGGCACCACTCAGGCATCCTGAGTGCAACTTGCCACCTAGATAAGCTAATTACGCATGCCATGGCACGAGAAAGCCTGCCTTCTGCTTCCACAGACGAGCAGCGTCCTTCCTGTGCCTGCTCGGCTCACAGGCCTGCCCCCCCGCCTCGGAACCGCCCATCCAACGCACAGGGCAAGACGGGCGTGCTGGCGGAGCGCAAGTTTGAGGCCGGCTGCGCGGCGCTAGGCGTCGTGCTGTCCCCCAAGGAGCGGGAATGGGTGGAGCGCGCCGCGACGGCGCGCGATGGCGCTGGGGCCGTCGACTACCGGGTGTTTTGCAGCGCGTTTGCCGAGTGACCCCAGTGTTTGCCTGTCTGTCTGGGTTTTGGCTGGCTGGCTGCACGTTTGGGTAGTAACTGTTACTTTCACAAAGCGCTGAGCTTTGTCCCATGCTCCGGGCTTCCTTGTTGGCTTGTGCAATTGGGTTGGTGGGGTTGCAGGAGCAGCTCTCTGCGGCGTGAATCGCTGAAGCGCCAGCTGCACGGCAGCCAGGCAGAGTAGGGCGACCTCACCGGCCCTGCGCGGCACGCTGCACAACCGGCGGTGGCGCGTCCTTCCAGCTTCTGAGAGGGTCCAGTGTCACGTGTGCTGAGTGCCCTTTGTACTGCCCGGTCTGTCGGGGCGTGGCGACACCGCAGGGGTCGCTGCTTGCGCATGGTGTCTAGTTTTCCTGGGTGGCGTGCATTGCGCTCCTCTGGAGTCAACTGCCAGTGTTTGGTGAATCCAGGGCTTTCAGCAGCAGCAGCGTCTGCACGGCATCGAAAATATGCCCACCCCCAAGACGACGAAGATAGCGAGCAGCAGCGCTCGCACCGCTGCTCAGTGGATCGACGGCTTGAGCAACTTGCAATCTAAGCACCAGTGTGACACAACAGCCGGCAGCATCCGTTCAAACGCATCCCCCCCAGTGCCCAACTACAACTGGACACCCAGGAGCAGGTGCATCATATCGGACTCCAGGAAAGCTGCCCCGAGAGTTCTTACCCAGAAACTGTGCGGGTGCAAAACACATAAGCGGATTTTGCGGTTGTGGCGGTGCCTGCCGTGACAGCTGCCCGAGCAAATCTGGCTGGCTCAATGGAGGTTTTAGAACGGGCAGGCAAGTAGAACCCTGCGGTGAACGAGTCAGATTCACCCCGCTGTAATCCAGCGCCCGGGGAAGGCAGCTTTACCAGCCAAGCCCTGGCGTCCTCCCAGGTTTGGTGTGTCGGATCACAAACCAGCCAATTCAACCCTCGCATGGCACAGTTAGGGTATGGATACACAGTCTGGGCGTTACGTACTCAGCAACCCCTCACAAGACTCACAAGACGGCGCATTAAACCTGGCAGTTGGCAGCTCACGTCAAGGGCCCTTCTGCCGCATGTGCGTTGCCCGTGCGTGCGGCCTCGAGGCGGCTGAGGCGCTCCTCTGTGGCCATGACGCGCCGGTTGAGGCCGTCCATGGCCTGTGAGCATGGAGAGCGGGCAGGGCACGGTTGACTGTGTCAGCATTGTGCCTTTAATAGGGGAAAAAGTGTTGCATATACGCAAGCGATCCCGCAAGAGCGCACGATTGACCAGGAGGCATAGGGCGCCGCTGCGCATTGTAGCGGAGCATATGCGCGGCCGCGTCACGAGGGCGCAGGGCCGCTTTCTGCGCATGTTGTCATTTCTGAGAGTGCCCTTTCTGCACGCAGGCCCCTATCGTTTTGCAGCCTCTGCCACTGCCGGCCCATGCAACTTGCAACCGCCGCCACTGGTTGCCCTGCTCACCCCTGCAATGTGGTCCAGCTTTGAGACGATGTCCCGCAGCGTCGCCGCCAGCGCCTCAGGGAGCGCCGCCTGCCCCAAGCCACCCGCAGCCGCCGCACCGCCCGCAGCCAGCCGCTCGCACGCCGCTGCAGCCGCCGCGGCGCCGTCCGCCGCTGCCCTGTCCCCGACGTCTCCGCTCTCGCCAGTGTCGGAGACATTCGATTCGGCCTCCGTGTAGCGTCCAGCTGCGTACAAATTTCCCGCCACCCCCGGCCCCTGCGCCAGCGCAGCCGCCGGCGCAAGCTGCTGCTTCTGCTGCTGCGGCCCGTCTCGCCGCAACGCGGCGGAAGGCAACGCGCCCGCCGGGCTGCTGCTGCGCGGGCGCCCTGCCGCCCCAGCCGCTGAGGTGGGGCGCGGCTGTAAGGCCGGGCCGTCGACCGCCCGCGAAGCCGGCTGCTGCGGTGGCTGCTGCTGTTGTGGCGCCGCCTGAGACTGGGTGGCGCCTATTCCCGCATCGCCCGCCTCTCTCACGACCGCCCCCAAGGTGTACCCGTCCAGCTGCCGGTCAAAGTTGGTGCGCCACACCATCACCTGTGACAAGGGGCGGGACGGCACAGAAGACGGCGGCGGTGTGAGTTTTGCCGCTGGCTGCTTTGGAGGCATCCACGCCAGAGCACCAATGGCAACAGGCTGGCCGCCATGTTGCTGCTGCAACCGGAGTCAAAGCACATGTAAATAAGATCAGCCCGCATGCCTTGGCACACGCACATTCTCGCAGCCCCCACAATCGAGGCCGAGCGGCCGCACCTGCTCGTCCGCGCCGGCGCTGGCGAAGTAGTCGCCGCCCGGCGAGAAGGCGACAGAGTTTGTAGCGCCCTCGTGGCCGTGCAGCGTGTAGAAGAGCTGGCCCTCCCGCAGGTCCCACACCTGTGACGCGGCATGACGTCACATTTGCTAAGATGCAGCCGCCAAAGTACCCGCCTCGTCACGATCTGGCTGCTCGGCTCCGTTTCGCCGGGTCGGCGGCGCTGGCTGTAGCAGGGGCGCGATAATACATCCAACCCTTTTCCTATATACCCCGAGCAGCTTTGTTACCGCATCACTTTGCCACCTGAACCTAGGTTTTCGGGAGGCGCGTCGGTTTTGGGCAGGGAGCTCCCACCTTGAGCGTGGTGTCCAGGGAGGAGGTCAGGAGGAAGCTGCCGCTGGGGTGGAACGCGGCGCCCGTGATGGCGCCTGTGTGGGCGCGGTAGTGCTGCAGCAGCGCGTCGCTGCGGAGGTCCCACACCTGGGGGCCGTGGGGCAGGGTGGGACGGGGCGACTGAGTTGCTGGGTGTGTTGGTCCTGAGTGCGCGCACGTGACGTGCATGTGGGCACATGTGCTTGTTTCTTAGCAAGGAGTTAATTGCCATGCACGCACAGCACGAGCTGGTCATAACAAGCGACAAGACGGCTCAAGACAGCGCACAAGCATCGAGGTGCGGCCTGCTGCTGGAATGCAATGCCGATCGCTGCCAGGGCCGGCGGGAGGCGCCGCAGCAAGGGCCGCCGCGGCACCTTGATGCTTGCGTCGGCGCAGCCGCTGGCCAGGGCGGTGCCGTCTGGATGGAACGCGGCCGCGCTGATGGACCCGCCCGTCGGGTCCTCGTAGCAGCGGATGACCTTGCGGCTGGCGATGTCGAACACCTAAAGATTGTTTGGGGTTTGGGGGGAGCAGAAGCCGAAGAGGTGGCGGAGTTGAGCGTCGCCCGAGGGAGAAAGAAAGCAGGCGCCGATACTGGGCTGACTTCATGAACTAAACTCAATCATCAATACGCTCGGAAGCCTCAGGCAGCGAGGCTGGAGGCAACTCAGCGGCTGGCGCCCCGTCTGCGCGTACAGGTGAAGCAGGGGGCAGCAGAGGTGGCCCGATGTGCGCGTCAACACACCCTGAAAAGCCACATTGTGGCGGACGAATGTCCCATCCTTGCAGTGCAGCGCGCACCTTGACGCAGCGGTCGTCGCCCGCGCTGACGACTAGCCGCCCGTCCGGGCTGAGCTGCGCCGTCCGCACCCAGTTGCTGTGCCCCGCCAGCGTGCAGACGAACCGCTGCGCCGGCAGGCTCCAGAGCTTCACCGTCTTGTCGTCGCTGGCCGTAGCGAGCGTGCGGCCGTCGGCGCTGAAGTGGACGCAGCGCACGGTGCCTGTGTGCGCCTTGAGCACCGTGGAGCGGCCCTCGCTGCGAAGGGGGGGGGGACGTCAGGGAGATCGGCACCGCTGTCAGGCAGATTGTCACCGCTACAAGTTCAATGTATTGAGACACTGGGCCCGGGCACGCCAGGACCACACATATGAGCACCTGGGGCACCATCCAGGAAGCGCACACAGCCGCCGATGGCCCCGCCGGAGCCTGCTGCCACAGCCGACGCTCACACAGTGGGCTGCCATAGGCGCACGCTGCGGTCCTTGGACCCGGACGCGATGAGCGAGTGCGTAGGGGAGAAGGCCACGGAGTAGACCGCCGCCTGCGGTGCACGATTCGGGACCAGAGGGCCGCAGCGGGGCGGTTGCTGGAGCTGCCCCCTCCTGCAAGCGTCCAGACGCTTGCGCCCCAGCTTTGATGGGTACCCTCGCCCTCCGCTGCAGCTGCCTTCAAACTTCTGTTGCTGGCCCTGCCACACGTGCGCACCGTGTGGCCGGCGAAGCGGAAGGCGCGCAGCTGCGGCTTGAAATTCCACACCATCACGGTGCCATCCAGCGACCCCGAAATCAGCTGCTTCAGGTTGCTGTTGAATGCCACGGATGTGACCGCATCCTTGTGGCCGCGGAAGGAGCGCTCGAGCGTCGGGTCGTCAGGCTGCATGCGGCGGGCGAGCGTGGAGCTCAGCGGAGCGCAACGCGTGCGCGCGGCAGGCGTGCGACGTGGGTTGTGGTTCTGATGGGAGCTGCAGTCTACTGCGCGCTAAGCCGGAAACTTTGCCGTGCTTCATGATATTTTCAGCAGACCTTACCTGCGATAGCAGCGCCGCTGAAGGCACTGGTGCCTGCCCCTGAGGCATCGCGCCTTCAGTCACCAGTGCAAGCTTCCGCAGCAGGTATATATTCCGCAATAATTGATATCAAGCTCTTGCTTAAAAGCTGCAGGCGCTGCAGAGATCACTTTTTCGGGCTAGCTGTCGATGCGCGCCAAGTCAACAATGCGACAGCTGAGATTGAAGTTTCTGGCGTCCATGCAGCATGTCCTTGTAATATGACTACCGTAATCAGCAGCCCGGCTCAGGGGCATCAAAGGCGCGCCGCGGGCAGCGAGAGCAGCTTCCACCTGTGCTGGCCAAGCACGAGCTGCCATCCCCGTGCTGAAGCACATTATGCGAGCTTGGGTGCGGCCAGAGCCTCAGGTTGACCCAAAATCCAGCCATGGGGCTGCTGGGTGTTGCGCCTCCACGGTCGCCAAGGGCCACCGGATCACCACACCTCAAGCCCACCACAATCAACAACAGCCAGGGCCCCTGTACCGTGTTTTACATCGCCGGGCCAGCGCGAACTGCCGTGCCGCCACGACAAGCTGAGCAACAAGCATGAATAGCTACTGTTGCGTCTCGATATTCAGGGAAATGTCCAGCGCAGTCACGCTGTGCGTCAGTGCCCCCACCGACACAAAATCCACCCCCGCCTCTGCAAACGCCCGCACGCTCTCGAGCGTCACGTTGCCCGACGCCTCCGTCTCCACCGCCCGCCGGCCCGCGGCGGCCGCGGCGGCGTTGTGCGCGGAGACGCGCGCCATGGCGGCCCGGAGCATCGAAACGTCCACGCCGCCGGGCTTAGACGTGTCGCGGCGTGCCATGTTGTCAAGCATGATCCTGCAGAGCAAAAAGCGTGGTGGTCGCGGCCGCCACTGAAGGAAAACCTCGAGCCAGGCACGTCTGATCGGCCGCCGAGTCCGGGGTGGCGACCCGCCCGTTCTTTCCGACAGCGGGCCCAGAAATACAAGGTGGGTCAGTGGGTGTCTTGGGGTAGAAAGCAGGGGTCCATAGCGGTCCCCGAAAGCAGCCCAGCCAGCTCTTACCGCGACACATGGGGCGCCGCGCCGCTGCCCAAAATCTCGAGCGCCAGGTCGACCTCCTCCAGGGTGCGCGTCTCGAGCTCCACCTGCGAGTGCGCAGCAGCAAGGGCATGCATCAAATGTGCATGCTGGGCCCAGCGGCTAAATCTAGCGCACATGCGCACTCAAACGCGTAACAAAGTGCCAGGCGCGGGAGGGTGCCACCCGTCGTCCCAAGCAGAAAGGCTGGTGTCTGTGTGAGCGTGCAGCAGGGGCCGCGCGTGTGAGATAGTTGGCACGGGCGCAGCTGGGTCTGCAGCAGCAGGCTGCTTCTGGGCAGGCGCGTCATGCGGGGGTTGAAACCCTGCGCGCGCACCTGCAGATCTGGCAGCCCCTGTTCACTAATGAACGCCTCCGCGCGCTCCACCGCCTGCCTGTGGGGCGGTCGACGCGAAAGGACCTTCATCACTGATGTGATTCGACCAAATCACATCGCGGCGGGAAGATCTCAGTTGGCCTGGGAGCCCCCTGCCAATGCACTCAACGCAGTGTACGTGCCGCACGGGGCCCCAAAGAAGCCGCCACGCGCCTGATGCCGCCAGCCGCCGCGATGTGGTTGTCCTTTATCATCATCATGTCGTACAGCCCCATGCGGTGGTTGGCGCCGCCGCCCAGCAGCACGGCCCACTTGTCCAGCAGCCGCAGGCCCGGCGCGGTCTTCCGGGTCTCCAGGATCCTGCGGCAGTGCAGAGGGGTTGCTGATGGGCGATTTCGTGGCGGCTTCGTCAGGCGTCCGGCCCGCCGGCGGGTTCAATGAGCATGAACTGCCCATGCGAGGTGTCAAAGTGACGGCTGGCTTTGGCGTGCGGCAGCACCAAGGACAGCATCGGGGCTGGCTGGCAAAATCGGCAATAACGGGCAGCAACGCGCTAGTGACGACAAGGCAGCGGCAGTTCCCTGCCCTCGTGCACCAGCCAGGGCAATGGTGAGTTTCCGCCCACCTGGTGCCGGTGCCCTCCACTGCTGATACCATGGCGCTGGTGGCCGTGGCAATGCCAGACATGCGCTGCGAGGGCCAAGGCGTGCAGCAAAAGGGGCCACTGCGTCGGTGCATGCCAGCTCCCCTGCTGCCCTTTGCAAGAACAGCTGCCGCCTTGCTCTCTGGCGCGATGCGATCAATCCATGAGACCTGGCTGTGACGGAGGCTCGACTCGAGCTTCACACTGAGGGGGTACGCGCCGCCTCAGCTGCACGGCAAAACGGACTGCTGCGTCTCGCAAATCGGCCCTGGCCCCGCACCTGCATGAAGTTCAAGGCGATCCGCTCCGCAACCAGAATGCTGCGGGCCGACCCTTTCAAGATGCCAAACTCCTCGCCCCGCCGCACGCGATCGCCGTCTGCGGATGCATGAAGCGTCAGCAGCAGCAATAAATACGTATGCAACCAGGCACTGCCACATGCCTCGAGGGCCCGCTCCACACTTGCAGTGGGGCGGCTTTGCCCTTAACCCGTTCCTGCCGGCCTGTGGTCAGGTGTTTGCCTTGGACGGCTGAGAGCACGGAGGCGCCCCTGACGCCTGCGCCGCCAAACTCACTGCTCGTGCCACTGCCTTCCGCGCCCGCTCCTGGCTCTCCCCGGCACCGCTGCCTTCCGCCCGTGCCGCATCGTAAGCAACATCACAGGCGGTGCTTGCAACGGCTGCCCCTGCCTGCCGCTGCACGCAACTCGCCCTTTGAAACCCACCTTGTTTGCTCCACTCTGCCTTCAGGGAGGGGTCCACCAAACCGAACACCATGTCAGCCACAGCCACACCCGCCAGGGTGCCATCCGCCTTAGCCAGGAAGGTGGCTGTCGCCTGAGTGGCCTCGCTTATGCTGTGCACAGGTGCCCATGGGATGGGGGCGGGCCGGCGATGTCATAAATGAGCCCGCACGTGGGTCTCCAGGTGGCCTAGCATGAACTTGACCGTTGCCAACAAAGTGATGGTGTATGAAATGGCACTGATCAAGGCCCGCGCAATCCTCTCGGTGGTCCGACAGCTGCTGGTGCCTGCACAGCAGCCAACCCCCCCCACACCAATGCCCAAGCCGCCCCGGCCGCTCACGTGGCCTGTGTGGTGACGTCACCCCTGTCCCCTGCATCCTCGTCAAGTGCCGCCTTGATGACCTGGGCCAACGGCAGGATTGATGATGTGCGCCGCCGTATGCACAGGGCGCAGCGCACCCAGTGGCAGACCTTGCAGACCCCGATGAGTGTCACTGTTTTATACCACGCCCTCAGGTGGAATTCTGTGCTGCCCACCTGCTTGACGTTGTACGTCGGGTGCTGCGGCGCTGCTATAGAAACCTTGGGCGGGACTGCCACGGCCATCACGCTGCATGCGGGGGCGGGCGGCGATGCAATTGCACCACAGCCGCGTGCAGCACCACCGCACGCAGCCGTCGAATCGATGTCGCTGCAGGAGGCGTTCAGCCGGGCCGGCAAAAACAACGCACCCGATATCTTCGCTCGACGTCTATTGATTGGTGACGAAACAACCGCGCGCTGTTGATGAAATGCAGGCTGTCACCGCGCTGGTCACGCGGAGTTCGCGCAGAACGGAGAGTCGGGACAGCGATTGCGTGATCCAATCATATACATAAAGGGTCTCTGATGCTGCGCATGGAACACCTGAAAGAGAGCAGTCAGGTGCCACGTCCTGCTGCTGCTGCCTCGGGGCACTCTTGATCGAACCGCAGCAACTCCGTGAACAACTTGAGATTTAAGATTTTTTCTCCGATATATGCAACCCGACGATCATTTCGAATTCAGTGCTTGCAAAAATTCTACAAAACTGTCGGGGCGTGGTTTGACCCGCCTGCCCCTAGCTATCAGCGAGGGCCGGCGGAAACGCATCCAATGGCGGCAACCGAGGAGCGCGTGCCACTGCCTGGCTCCAGCGCAGACAGGTCAACGAGCCGTGTCGCAACCAGCGCGCTGGCCACTGCACCTGGCGCAGTGTGTGTTCGAGCTGCTGGTGCATGTGCCCGGTGATCCACACGGCCCCTCTCAACATGGTGAGCATGCAACCTTGCACTCTTTGCAGGGAGGCCAGGATCGCCGCGCGGCGCAAGCGCGTGCAGGACAAGCTCGCAGCCGTGCGCGCACAGGCCCAGGCCGCGGCCCGCAGCGCCGACGCCTCCGCTGCCACATCCCAGCAGCAGCCAGTAGCGGCGGCGGCGCAGCAGCAGGCAGCACCGGGCGCGCAGGCCGGCCTGGGTGCGGCGTACCCCAAGGCGGCGCAGCAGGTCGCGGAGAGCCAGCGGCGCCTGCTGCGGCTGCGGCACCGCACGACACACGAGGTCACTTCGGTGCGGGTGGCTGCTGACGAGGCGGAAGCCGCACACAGGGCAGCTGAGGAGCAGCTGCGCCAGGTGAGGCTTCACGTACGGCGGCGCCGAGGATGCGCATGAAATCTGCGGCTGTCGCCTGACTGCTCGGCTGGCCAGGCTTGGTGGCCCCCCTGTGAGAGTCGTGTGCATTCACGTGGCTGCACAAGCGAGCACCATCAGCGAATCTTGCTGACACGCGTGCACGATACCGGCGCAGGAGCTGAGGGGGAAGCTTCTGGATGAGGCGGAGCACAGCGCAGCAGCTAACGCACAGGTGGGCCTGCATTGCAACTTAGGTGTCGATCCCCTTGAGGGTTGTGGGACCCGCACATGGCAGCCCGGCGGGCAGCTGCCATCCCCTCGTCCATCACTCATGGAAACAAAGCAGACGCTTCGACATTCAACGCGACCGCGCCCGCGCCGCCTGGGTCGCATATGTTGCCAATTCCAGGTGGCGGCGGGCTGGCCGCCGCTGTTTGATATCCTGGTGCCTCAGAAACTCTGGGGCGCAATGGAGGAGCAGCGCGCGGCATGCGAGGCCATAATCGCCTCCAAAGACGCCCTTGTCGCGGGTGGGGTGCCGCAGGGACGGTGGGGCCGAGGCAAAGGGGTGGGCGTCACTCCTGCCGGCCCTGCAGCTGTCGCAGACGGTGGCAAGCTCCGCTGACGAGGGGCGTCGCTCCTTGTTGAGGGGCTGCCTGGGGGATTCAACCGCCAGGCATGCCGCGCTTGTCACTTGCGGCGTGCATGCACCAGCTACGCCGTGACAGCCGTGACCAGTCCGGGCGCCCAATGCCCAGGGGCGCTGGCTGGGCGCGACACGCTGCATCCAATGCAGGAGTCTCACCCGCCCCGACCGGCTGTTTACAAAATGCTTCTGCATACCCAGAGCTGCGAGGTGCGCTGCGCTCCAAGGATGAGGAGTACGTGCGGCTGCTCAAGCGCCAGGCGTCGGGCATCGACACCCTGCTGGTGCGGACGGCGCACTGCGCGTGCCCATCTTACATCTGTGTCTAGCCGGTGACCTCCACACCCTACACCTTCGCTTGCCTGCCTGTTTCTGAAGGCGGGCGCGCCTCTGCGCGACCGCCGTCTGCTGACCGGCCAAGTGAACCTGCGATGAGGTGTCCTCAAGAGCATTCAAAGGCACTTCAGTCGCAACGTCCGCCTCTCGTTCGACCCTTGCCTTGCCTCGCCGCGTCGGTGTGCGCCCCGCAGACCTGCATGGGCCGCCAGCTGGCGGAGGTGGGCCAGGCCTACAGCGACGAGCTGGAAGCGGTCGAGGCGGCGCTGCTGCAGGTGGGGCCCTCGGGGTCTGCAGACACGGCGACTGATCCGTTGGTCGCAGTCGCGGCGGGCGCGGCCGCAGCTGCAGCCGAGAAGGCCACCGCACTCGGCGGCCCTAGGAGAATCGGTGCGTGCTGAGAGAAACGATGTGGTGTGCGCGGCACCAACAACACCTGAGCAAACGGATGGTGCCCAATCGCCGACCCGCGCAGGAGCGCGGGGAGCTGCTGTCCGGCAACCAAAAGGAGGGGACCGCCATGCTGGCTGCACGGGCCCAGGCGGAGCAGGAGTTCACGGAGAAGTGGGTGGGGCTCGAGCTGCTGGCCGGGGCTTTGCTTTTCGGCCTGCGGCAAAGCTGAGTGCCCAGGGTCCCCTCACACGCACTTGCGGCCATGCATCCGTGTGCACAAGCATGGATACACGCGCACACGTTTGTGTGTGTGGCCCCCGCCCACCCACTTGCTCTCTCTCCCCCCTTGTTCCCTCCCACTCTCTCTCCCACTCCCTCTCTCCCCCTCTCCCTCCCTCTCCCTGTCGCTCTCTCCACCCTCCCCATCTTCTCACTCCTGCCCACCCCCCTGCAGCC